GAAAAAATTCCGCCGCAAACGGGGAAAATCTGGGGGTTTGGGGGGGGGGGGGGAACTTTTTGCAAGTTTTTGACCTTGGGGTCTCTGGAAGTCCATGAAGATGACGTCTGGCAAATTTGTGTCTACGATAACTTTTGCTCTACTACTCGAGGTCTATCTACCCTGCAAGTTTCAGGAATTTTCTTAAGTCTCGACGACGAGTTATTATCATGGTATACTGAAAATAAAAATTAATGTAAAATATTTTCTCTATTGTTTAATTAATTGTTACACTTATCATAACATCTGAAATAGAGGCATTAGAGTTTTCGTTCGTCTTAAGGGATGAAAATTTGACATCCACCTAATCTGAAATAAAGTTTGTGAATATAATCGAACCTCGCAAAGATTAGCTGCTTTTTCTCCACTTCGTAATCGATCAGCAATTTTCTTTGGTATCATTTGATATAATAGTAAATCAGTTTTTTTCATTTCAACATCCAATTTTTTCATACTATCTTCTAATGCTTTACTTTTTTGTTTTTCCTTAAAAAAAAAAAGAAAAGAAAAAAATGAAAAATAAAAATTGTTCTATAAATATTATTTTGAAAATTTCATTTTTCTTTTAGTTACTTGATCAAGTGCTAATTTAAGTTCAGCACTTTGTTGTGTACCAGCTAATACTAAATCTCGACTTGAATCATGCATTGATAGATCATTTATAAATAGACCCGTATTAAACATAGCATCGAGATTTTCAAGACTAAAAACAAAAATGAGAAGTTATTTATTGCTTTTAATCTTTATTATGCATTGATTTGTTTTGAGAAATAAACGAAGAAGTTCTTGAAATTGTAAAACTTATTTCATCTTATAAGAAGTAACTATAAGAATAAAGTTTGTTTTTTTCTTTTTTACATTTAACTGAATTTTCAAGCTGCATATTTGAGGATAGAAGACAATATATAATGGGTGATCATGGGATTTTATTATAAAAAAATCACGAAATATAAACATTATTCAAGAAGAAAGACCTATAAATAATAATAAAGTGAGAGTTATTTCAAAAGTCTAATGAATAATGACAAAATATTTAAAAATTTCTTCTCAAACTTATGAGACAAATACTTCATGTTCATAGATAACAGAGCAAAAATCTACATAACATATGTGTGATTTATATTGAATAGAAGACATTTCAACAATTTCAAATCTATTAAATTATTCAGTCTGAAATAACGTATGTAAGATTTTTTTTTACTTTATTTTCAAAATATTTTTTCTTTATGAAACATTGTAAAGCTTTATTATATATGATATTATTTAGTAAAAAACTGCTAACACAATTTCTTCATCATATCTTCACTTAATTCTCCAGCAGTTCAATATGACAGTAGGTTATATTAAATTTAAAAAGACAACTTGTTAATCACTTCCACTTCTGAAAGGTATCGAGAACCGTCGGATGAGTACAAATTTTTATCTATTATACGTACTTTAACATTTGTGTTTTAGAAAATAACTTACACTGGTGTAGCTAAATAAATAATTGCTTTCCATTCATGTACATATAACATCTGACCACGTAGACGTAAATATTCTTCATGTATATCTCGATGTACTGTCATAGTTAAAAGTATTTCTAAAATCAAAAAAGAAATAAAAATTCATCGAAATAAAACTAAAATAAAGAATTTTACCAGAATCATTTTGATGTCTTGCATCATTTATTTCTAAATCACTTTCATTCGATTGTTTACGTAATGGTTCAATAGTTGAAAATTCAAAAACATTATTTGAATGTAATACAATTTGTGACCAATTTAATGTTATAATAGGTCTAAGAAAAGAAAAGATTATTTTCAAAAATAAAGAATTATTCTATTGTTCTTTTTTGTTTTTGTTTTATTACCGAACAAGATTAAATATGTCACGAATAAGTTCACCAACAATATTTGGAAATAATTGTGTTAAAGAATCTCCAGCTGATACAATTTCTAATGATTCTGATATAACCATATGAAATGGAAATAATTCAAAAAAAATATAACAATCTACTGCTAAATCAAGTTCATTGGAATCTTTATCTGTTGTTGCTTGTTGAACATATGCTGTATTTTCAAATTTAAGTTCAAATACAACATGTGTTATATCAAATTCTTCTCGTTCGCTAACAATATCAATTTGAACATTTGTATCATAAAATCGACGACCAACCTATAGAAAACAAAAAATCTTTTTGAGTTTTTATAAAGAAATTATATTTAAATTCCTTCAAACCTCAGTTATTTGTCCAACAACATAATGAACAAATCCTCGTCGTCGACTACGATAATGAAGTGTTAGACCATGAGCAGTTTCTTTTTCAACATAAAATGATGGTGGTCTCATTCGTGGATATGTATAACGCATATATTCATGTAAATTATCCAAACCATTAAGAAAATCTCGCATATTATGTCCACTAGAACAAACAAAAAAAAAAAGACGTTTATTTCATCAAATGAAAATAAATAAAAATCAAACATACAGAATTCTTAATACACGATCATAACCATAATTTGAAATATAGGAAACAAATTCTGTACCAAATATATTCATAAGATCACTAATTGGTTCATCTAAATATAGATAAATGTTTTATTAATTTTCTAAATATTGCCTTCAAAGACTTGAAGAACATTGCAAAAAAAAAATATGTTTTATATTTAACTGAAGAACTTATCTTCTTTGTAAGATTCGTTTAAAAATAGCATATAATTACTAATTTTGTTAACACTTTGTTTCTGAGTCTGAAGAGAGAACGTTTTCATCTGATCAATCACTTTCCTACTGAAAGCTAGCAGATGGTAAATTATTGACAATACTGATTTCGAATATGAACATGAAAAATCTCCACAGATCTTCATAGGTTGGTTTTATAGATGATAAAACTTTAGAGTATATCGAATTGCTTAGAAAAGAGTCAATTTTTCTGTTTCAAATTGTTCTTCGCAGCAAAAAAAAAAGAACCAAATGAATTGGGATTCACTTAGGATCTTAGTGCTTCTAAAATTCGATCGATTTCGCTAAGCAAACATTTGCTTATTGCTGGTAAACATTATAATTAGGGATGCATATACATGAATGCTTTTTCCATCACGATAAAACATGTTCAACTTTTTGATAATTCATTTTAGTAAAATAATATTATTTTCCACTTCTATGATTTATTGTCAAATAGAATAAATTGTTCAGGCATGATCGAAGAGATTTTTATTCTTATGATTTTATATTAATTAGTAGTTTGAAAAAGAAAAAAAATATATATTTTGAAACACCGACATGTCATTAATTACCGAGTCGTGTCGAAGGTATGAGATCAAACTCGGCATTTGGATCAACCGGCTTACAAGACACTACATATGTATAGATCCTAAATGATTTTAGCAAAATATATGTTAGCTTGGAAAACCAGTCAATAAAGACTTAAGAAGCTTTTTCTGAGAGAATGATTGATCAGTTGAAAATTATTCTCGTGAGTTCATTATTTGTAGCTATATCTGGATAGAACAAAACAGTGTATAAATATTAGACAGACAGACTAATGATATTTCTATAATGTCAAATATTTTCAATTATCACTAGTGAAATACAAATACGATGTATATTTTAATTTTTTTATATATCTATTGATCGTCATTTGCATAATTAATATATAGATAAAAAAACTGTAATGATTTTGAGATTTCAAAGCGGAAATTCTTTTTTGTTAGGTGCGCTAACACATATTTTCTATTATATTAATTAAAAGTTTGTACTTGACATAGCAAATGAACAATTCTAATTATTAATAAACTATATTCTTTTCTTACTTCAAAGTATTTTCTAGAATCCGTTTACTTATTTAGAAGCATGTATTTAGTATTTTGAGAATGAGTATGCGTGTTCGACTAGTTTACCTTTTGTATTCTATTGTATTTAAAACGTAGTTTATTCTATATGAATAGTAAATAATAGAGGTTTTTTTTCCTTGAGGAAAAATAAATCTTATCATAGTATATAATAAGATTTCATCTAGGACAACTAGATACAAGTTTAAATAATTTCTTATGTTATTTAGATAGACGACTAGTCGAATAAAAATTATATTTTCATTTAAAAATAGATTCTTAGACTATCATCAATTTCATAATTTTAACAATGAAAATTATAATTAATAGGTGTATTATGTTGAATTATAGTTCTGACTCTCATATCTTTTACTTATGCATATAAAATAATATAAAGAAAGTAACATTTTGATTGTTATGAAAATTATTATTGTTGAATAATATACTTATGTATAAACTATTCAATGAAAAAAAAAATATTATTAAAGATTTAAATTAGTATCGTATAATAAAAAGTTATTTATTATTAACATTTTGATTAATACCGTCTAGAGAACATACTATTCAAAATGTGAATGAATTGTTTGAAGAAAAAAAAAGACACTGAAAATTATTCAACACATTAATCTACATATCTTCTACTTTGTTATTTATTATGGACGTGTATAAAGTATTTCTTCTATAAAAACGATTAGCTTAAATAGAATTGAAAATCTATGACTTTATAGAATATAAAAATTTAATACTTTAAAAGATGATTGTTACAAAATAAAAATCATCTTTCGGACGTAGACATGTATTTACTGATTATTTCTTATTACACAACTAAATTATGATTTAAAATCTCGTAATCAAAATTTTCTACATACTTCGAATTTCACTTAAAAGTTTTGTAATTCGTACGAATAATGTTTCTCCATATTGTTGAAATGCTGCAACTGAATTAAGATCAAGACGAAGCGTTGCTTTAATTTGCTCCCATGTTTCTTGTCCATATTTTGCTCGTATTATTTCAATAGCTGATTGTAACAGAAGACCATACATTCTTGTCTAGTTGTTATCGTCTTATTTTGTGAACATTCTTTCTAATAATAATGATGATAGTAGTGGAAGAAATCGACATAATACTTCAAAAGAGAGAGAAAAAAAAATGATGACAGAGAAATCACGCGTATAAAACAAAAGGAAATACGAGGAAATGGAAAAAGAAAAACATTTCGCAAGCATCAACAATCAGTCAATAGGTGTCGAGTTGCTTTTTCCGTAAATTCAAGACGAAAATTGTTCTTTTCTTTCACGCGTGTAAACTCTCGATAGATATTAAAAAACAAAGAAAGGTGCACGCAATGCGCTAATGAAAAAATAAAAGAAGAAAAAAACCAACGACGAAGAGTCAAGCGTGTGATGAATCTATAATCAGCAAAATAAATCTCATCTTATAGAATAGAATACATATATTGATATCTGAAAATGCGTTTTTTGACATGAATAAAGAAATTTCTTTTGCTCATATTTCATTATCTATTACTACACACATATATACACTTTCTTCTATAAACAAAAAAACGTTCATTTGTTGTTGACGATGATATTAATTTACTATTGAAAAGAAAAGAAAAAATATATAGTCAAAACAAATATTTTTCCATATCAATAAGTTCACTCATCAATATTATAAAATGATCAACTAGAAAATTAGATAACACATCAATAGTTAGTATTGAAGTGTCAGGTAAGAAAAAAAAAAAACGGAAATCAGTTTCCGTTTTTAATAAGAGTTTATATGGTCGAATACTCATTGCAATTTTTACTTACTATTGAAATTCTATTTATGTACATATATCTATTAGGATTTTTCATTATTATTGAAGTAACGAAGAAATAATAGTATTTTATGGTATATATAATAAATTCATTCAACCTAGTTTTTCTTTGCATGATCAGTTAATAAATGAAAAGCTTTTATATATATATATATCATTGAAAACTTTTCAACTGAAAAGAAAAACAAAAAGTATATACTGAATACTTGAGATAAATTTAGATCAAAATAAAATACTAAATAAATAAATCATCAAAACAAATAAACTAAATTAAAATAAATAATAAGATTCAATACAAGACAGTAAAAAGATCTTACTTCAACTATTCAAAGGAGACTACATATTAATCACTTAAGTACATTTTACTGTCGGCTAAATCACCATATATATATATACGTCAATATGCTTAAGTGAATATTACCTAATGTTTACTTAAGAAAAACTGATTTTCTAAGTTTCACCTTCAAACTACTGGCAAAGTCATATTTGGTTATTCGTCTGATCTATGATTGTTATATGTAGCATAAACTTTTAACAAAGAAAATCTACTTGATTTGTAATACGATACACTATAGTTTATCAATGTGAAAACAAAATAGAATAAGCCTTTTAAAATTTTTTATACTCTTGAACAAAAAAAGACTTTATGTAAGAGAAAACAAATTTTTTTCATTCACTCATAAATATCATAATATTTTTTTATGTCCATTTTGAAAGTTCATCATGCTTTTAAATAAAAATCTTTTCTATCAAGTACTAGTATGTTTAACAATACTTATCAATTTCCTTGTTTCTGGAAAAGACATCTTAATTGTTTCACTAGTATAGTTTTATCAAATAACGTCATGTTAATCTTAATGAATAAAACAAAAGATGCATAAAAAGTTAGATCAACACAAAAATAAAATCTTTTAATTAATATATGTATATTTTATTAAATATCCGTACTATATATTTTCTTTTACAATAATATTTTTTCATAACAATAATACAAAGAAGAAAAAATCAAAACATTCTTAGAATTACTCAAACATTTTACTTGAAAATAAAATAATGTTCTTTATTTTTCTTATATACGAATATTTATTCTAAAAAAATATTATTAAATTTGAAAAATATAATGCAGTGTGAAAAACACATACATTCAACCGTAATAACAAAATATAAAAATTTCAAACTTACCTCATTGATTACGAACTATATAAATAAACTGTCTAATCAATTGTTTGGTTTAATGAGAGATTGAAAGGAAACAACCCAAATCAAAGTTTCTCACGTAATATTCTTTAGTATAATTTCCTCACTGTAATTTTAAACCGTCGAAAAAAACAAAATGTTGCGTCATATGATTCAGTCGGAAAGAACATTTTCCTTCATTAAGGCAATACAATCCAAATGGTTCATGTGCATACAACTCTAGTATAAAGTAATATATTTGAATTAGAAAACAATTTATTTGATAAAGAAGATTTTATGATAATCGGTTCCAAACATGTATTCATATTGAAATATTACTCAAATGAAAACATATGAGACTTTATTCGAGGTACATTTTATATTAAGAAGCTATTAGCGTAATCCTTAAGTAAAATAGCTTGTCAAAATATTTTTTGCACACCTTTTTTAACAGAATAAGTAAGATGTTCTTGTCTCCTAATTATAGGAGCATGTACACAGTTTGTGTATAATAATGCAATAAAAATTGACTTGTTGATTATGATTAAGTTTTTTGTAGTATAAACACATCTGAATTAGTCAGGAAGCGTTAAAATTATCTAATGTCACATTGTATGTCGCAATATATTTTTTTTTCTCATAATTATCTATTTAAATGCTTGAAGGAAGTGTAAACCTTGATACAATTGCTTATATTATAGGCGAGAGAGACTTAGTAACATTTTTCTCAATCCTTGAATCATGACATACTGTCAGTATACACCTTCAATGACAGTAAATTTTAATTACAATATGCCATAAAATTTGTGGAAAGACAAGCAAAAAGCAAATACTTTAAGTCATAATTTTATCTGAGGAATTATGATCAACAAGTCGGGAACGTATGAAAGGTGAAGAAAAAAGACAATTTAACTTTGGTTTCATAAAGATGTCGTTGGAAATAAGATATATTTCGTGCATAGACTAGTATAGAAGTCTTCGTGTTTCTTTTTTTTTGTTGATCACATATAATATTATTCTCTCAAAGTTAATTGAGAAATATTACGAAAAAGATAATCTGAAGTCATTACTAATTTTGTTTAAAGAGAAAATGGGTTTTACTGAAAATAGAAAAATCAATTAGAGAAAGTTCTCTACTTAGTTCGAGATATTCAAAAGACTTCATTTAATTCTCATATCGAGGACAACAACTAAAAATATATAATAAATTAAAATTTAATTTGATATGCTACTTATTTTTTTTTTCTATTATTTTTTGATGAAACTTTCGAACAATTGTTACAATGATTTTATTCTTTTAACTTAATTTTTTCGTCAAGTAAGAATGATTATTTGTTTAGATAAATAAATATTTTGAATACCACGACTTCGTTTGACATTCAGATTAATTTCAATAAGAAAGAAACAGTGTTTATTTGATTATTGATTTTATATTTAAATAAAACAGATACATAGTTTCTTTGTAATTGTTTGTTACCATAGAAAATTTTTTCTTTTGATTTTTTTTGTAAGATTTTATTTTCAATTGCGATGTTTATCAACACTGTTGAATCTATATTTAATGAAGAAAAATAACAATAACATATAGTAAAACTTCTTCTAGTCAACATTCTATATTCCTCGTATATTTATTAACTGAATTATCACAAAATGTATGTTATGATTGCCCCCGGTTTTATGAATTATACTTAGGGCATACCAAAAGTAAGGGTATTGACATTTTAATACTGTATAATAAGCTTTAAGAAATTTTTCTATATATAGCTTGATAGAGAAAAAATATCTCTATCTTTCTACACTATTTGATCATACTTCAGCTAATCATCATAATAATAAAATTTCAATAAGATCTATTTTTCTGTCATATGGGACGGTTACACAAATTCGAGTGTATATTTTTTTGAATAACTTTTTATAGAAATAAGATAGAGAACTGTGGTTTGCACCGTTGGAAAGCGGAGATAAAGACGTATCGAATTGCATATTATATATTTTCCTAGACTTTACTTAGAAAATTTCTTCAATCAATTTTCTAAGTATTCAAAAAAATGGTTTTTTATTTCTGTAAAGAAATTACTAGAAAAATCACATAGAGCTTCGACTAGAACATCTATAACTCCTTAATNTTAATATCATTTTAAGCTACATGCTTTGGTCGCTAAAGCCTGTTTCCATGCTTTTTCTTTATTAAGAAGGCGAAAATATGATAAGTGATCATGATTAATCTATTTGTTTTAATGTTAATTTTTTTAATTTTTTAATTTTTTTCGGGTCTAGATCTAGCAAACTATTGCAAATTGAAAACGTAGAACAAGTCTCTGTAAACACCTTGCATATTAATGCATTTTATAATTATTTTTGTATTTTAATTATACATCTTAAACTCTCTAATCATCTTTAAAGTCACATGAATTTTCATTTCTCTTTGAATTGAAGCTATTACGTGAAAAATTAAAAAGCTGCCATTTTCTTCAGACTCTTTCGTTGTTTCACAAAGAACTTAAAAAGTCAATGTGGTCTTATGAGTTATACTTATTCTATATCTACTTAGAAATCATTTGTTACTATAGTAGTTAAACTGTTACTCCTCATTGATTTTAAGGGAAAACTAGACTGTATGACTACTGTGGACCGACAAATACCATTTTTTTCTTCATGTAGTTATAGTGTCAGTATTGCAACCTTTTGCTAAAATATCGCTGTGACAGCGGCAAGCTTTTTAGCATGTCGCGGCGCGGCAGTTTGTGTTTTATATACCACCGCGGCGCGGTAGAGACAGATTTTCAGCCGCGATGGACATCTCTGATATACATATATTTTCATAAATAAGTGAAATATAAGGAGAGAGATGAATAACCGCCCTCTACTTCAGTCTAGACTATTTATATAAAGAAGATCACGTCCAATGTGTTCTTTTATTAGAATGCCGTTACATTTAGAATGGAGGAAAAGAGTGATAAATTATCACTGATAATTTATTGAAATTATCACGCCGGATAGGAAAGTAGAAGTGAAAAGAGGAAGAGAGAAATAAGAGGAGAAAAG